GTAGATTGCCCCATCTTCCTTCTGAGGAGTGGCTGGTGGGTTTGAACTGCCAGCCTTCTGGTTAGCAGTCAAGTGCCTTAGGCACTACGCTACCAAAGCTCCTAAGTTAATTTTAGTTAACACTTTCTTTTTATAAGAGGTGAACATGATCGTATTGCTTCTTTAGATAGTATACCAAATTGGAACTTTTGGTGTGTTCTATTTCCAGGTAAGGAGCCCTGGTGGTTAAAGTGCTCAGCTGCTAACCAAAAAGCCATAGGTTTGGACTTACCAGTTTCTTCAAGGAAGAAATATGTGGAAGTCTGCTTCCATAAAGTTTTATAGCCTTAAAAACCCTATGGGTCAGTTCTGCTCTGGCCTGTAGGGTCTCTGTGAGTTGGAATTGAGTAAACAGCCATGGGTTTGGTTTTGGGTTCTGGGATTTCCAGGTTATTCCTGGTTTTCATTTTATCTGCTTTGAGAACAAAATAATGCCAATTTGTGGAGCTTTGTTTATAGCCACAGCAGGATACTTGGAAATGAGTTAAGGGTAGAAGTGTGTATCTATATCGTGTGTGTGCACTAAATGAGATTTTAGATTATTTCTTCTTATGTAGTTTTTTTTTTTTTTTTTTTTTTTTTTTTTTTTTTTTTTTTTTTTTTTTTTTTTTAATTGTCTCTCTCTCTCTCTTTTTAATTGTAAAGACAGCCACCGTTTTCTACCTACCTCACCTCTCAAGGACTATGGGGATCTACCAGATGGTAAACCAATGAAGTCCAGACCAACTGGTGTTCAATTTGTTGGGGAGACTGATGACATGGGCCAGGTACTTAGACCCTTCTGTAATATGTATGCAAGCTGTTCTTTACATTTGTATTTAAATGACTAACACTTAAACTTTATTGCTATTATTTTGGCCAACAATTTGAGCATCAGTAACTTTATACTGATTTTTTTTAACCCACAAACTATTTTATTTTGAATGTACTAATCTTCATCATATATTTATTTTGAATATTGTTGTGGAGGATTATATTTTGTATACCATTTAAAAATGAGCTTAGTTGGACATTTTTTGTTCCATTGATTAGATGTTTAACTCTTTAACTCTTCTGTAAGCCCAGCTAAGTCAGCTACTTTTTATTTTGCTAAGTTTTGTTTATTACGATAACGTTATTGTGCAATTGACCTATCGATTTTTCTAGTATTAGTGTTTTTCTGATTGTTTAATCATTGATGGAGCTACTTTCTATTAAGTAAGAGCTTCCATACTTCTCTGTGTATTCACTAAAGATTTCCGAAGCACTAGTTCTACGGACCTATTTATTTTCCTGCCTCTTTAAACTTTTCTGCAAGAGTTGAAATTTTCTCTTTTTGCCTTGGGCAGCAAAATTAATTAGAAAAGGACTAAGGGAAGTTTCTGATTTTGGTATGCTTGTTTTGTTGGAGTTTTAAGATTGGGAGCTCAGAATTTGTTTTAGGATACTCATCTGTGCTGTTGGCATATTACAGCATGAGATAAAGAGATAACAGAGCCAAATGCATTACAAAATGCCTTGCAGAAACTTGCCTTGAATGTGTTATTCTTTGGTTAGGTGCAACTAAACTTCATGGACTATGTGACTAAATCTAGAGTAGACAACAATTTCTTAAAATTACTTATTTAATCTTTTGTTGTATTTATTTAGTGCCTCTGTGCTGGGAACAATGCTAGTGCTTGGAAACAGTGATAAGCAAAAGTGGACATGGCCATGCCTTTTCGTGGAGCTTATAATTTATAGGAGAAACTAGATATTAATCAAATAAGTATATAAATAAACCCATAATTATGAACTGAGATATATGTTATAAATAGAAAGAGCATAGGGCAATGGGAGTGTATAGTTGGAGAACCTACCTCAGTCAGGGAATGCTTTGCTGAGGAAAGGCTTGTTGGGATGAGAGCTAAGATTTGAATAAGACTCCTAAGTAGAAAAAGTAGCTTGAGAGGAAGGAAGATAGCATGTAGAGGCAATCTAAAGAACGCCGTGTGCTAAAGAAGTAGGAAGAGCTGAAACCATGTAGAGCCCTGTAAGGGGGTGAAAAAGTTTTTTAGAAAAGATCACTCTGGTTCTAGTGAGCAAAATGTAGTTAATGTGTTCAAATTGTTTAGGAAGATATTACTGTGTTCTGAGTGTGAGATGATAGCCACTTGGAATAGGATGGTGAAATGGAGTTGGAGAGAAGGAGGTGGATTTAAGAGCTGTAGTGGATAAAGTGGAAAGGTCTTGAAGTTCAGCTGTGTACAGAGAGTTGGAGTAAGTGATAGAGTTGTGCCAAGAATGAATCCTAGGATCTTGGTTTTCAAAATTGGAAATTCATAATGGTAAACCTGAATGGATGGTCTTCTGTTATTCATTGACTATACTGTCTTCATTCCTTTCTTTTTAATTGTTCTTCCTTATTTTAAGTCCATTAACTTAAAATGTCCTTTAACTTCCCATGACACTGTACTTCTTTCTTCCCCTAGTTCAGAAGTTATGGTTAGCTGTTTACCTATCTGTCTCCCACATTAGATTGGAAGCCACTTGTTTTCCAGCATAGTAGCTGGCACCGATTAGTTGCTCAATGGGCATTTATTGAAATGGATCAGTTTTGTCTTTCTGCCAGTCTAGATAACTGGAAAAAAATTACTATAAAATATAGCATGCACACACACACACACACATTTTGGTTTATAACATATATATCCATTGTACTGTGGAAAGTACAATGATAAGAATGAACAGCACGTAACTACCAATCACTCCAAGAAATAGATGATTATCATGCTCCCAAAGCCTCTTTTATGCTCCTCATTTCCCCAAAGGGTCTACTGTCTTGAATTCTATATAAATTATTCCCTTGTTGTTTTGAAAATATCATTTTATCTACTTATATCTTCTTTAATGTAGCTTACCTGTAAACTTTATATAAATGAAATGATGTAGCATGCCTTCTTTTGTAACTTGCTTTTATTATCCAATGTTACGTTTTTGAGAGTCAGCCTTACTAATAAGTGGGTAGCTTTAATTGTTTCATTTTCACTGAGGTATGATATTCTGTTGACAGAATAGACTGCAATTTATTTAATCTGCATTCTACTCTTTTTTTTAATTTTATTTTTTATTTTTATTTATTAGGATTTGGGTGAAGATTTACAGAGTAAATTCACTTTTCATACAGCAGTTCACATATACTTTGTCTCATGTCATTGACCAAAATTTACAATGCA